CCCATGCTCATGAAGGTGCTGAGTATCTGCATGACAGTTTCATGGAGTGTTGTGCTGCTGAAGAAAGTACTCAACTGCTTTCTGCACATCGAAATCATCTATAACCGATTTAAAAAGAGTCTTATCATTAATCTATAATATACATATCTAGATTCTATAAATAATGTCAATACTTCCAAGTTCCAACTCAATGAATACCTCTAATGGTTTACTAGTTTCTTTCTCTCTCTATATATTATTCACATATACAAAAGAGATGAAGTGAGGCACAATTTTCGGTGAACTATTTGATTATATATATATTGACTGCTAACTTCAACAGGAGGCTAGTTAAGGGTAGCATTAATGTGATTTTGTCGCTAAACTTTGAATTTACATAGTTAATAACTATTCCAGTTGGTATTATTAACAATATAGATGGCACTTAATCAGAAAATGCAAAACAGATGGAAACTCTCGGTCTCAAATCAGAAACTTAATCAAGAGCAGATTGACAGGTAAGGAAATTTTAAAACAGAGACGTGGATACTAACAAATCCTATGCCGTCATAGAAAAATTATCTGAGATAAGATTTTTAATGCTTGATAGATTCAATTCACAAATTGTTGACCTTCAGCGTTCAAATTAATGTAAGAAGCATCACCCTTTGAGAACTTCTTTTGTTGCAGCCTCCATATCAGAAATCAAGGCAGGCATGCCATGTTGAGAGAGAAAATCAACACTATCTAGAAATTTCTTGTGGTCTTCCCTATCAACCACGTCTACACTTTCCTGTATATAGAGAAAAAGTGAAGAAAACAAAATTATTTCCAGATTCAATGAGCCATGTTATGTGTCAAATCAGTGACAAGTATATTCGAATAGAAGTTGAATTATAGCTCTTTTCTTGTGATTAAAAGTTTATCACAAAGACAACAAACACATTCCCCAAAGAATTTGACTGAAAATAATTGAAATTATAATTTACTCTGATATTTAACCCATGTGCTGGGTCAATCAATAGAACAAAAGCCTCAAAATTGTAACAACAGAACCTAGTCCCAAATCCCTCTCTTCCCCCTGTCACAGAAATAAGTTCATTGTTCAAATACAATCTTAAGATGACAAAAGAGAACCCACAGAACAAAAAATAAAATTCAATAAATAATAGTAGATAATACCCAATGAGGCATTGGGACTGGAGAGCACATTAACATGAATACTTTAACACAGTTAATATAAAAGTACAGGGCGCTGTATATTTCTATCAAATTAAGTTAAATACAAGTAACATATCCAAAGATGTAAAATAATTCTTAAATATGCACATCCTTATGAGTATGGTAATTGGCCTCAAAAGTACACACCGAGAGTAATTTTTAAAATATCTTATATTACATTTTAAACTGACTTCCTTCAATGCCAAAACAGATGTAGATACATTCTTTAGTACTAAGGTGCCACAAGCATATTAACTCACTTTTGGGTAAGAGAAACTGGTAACAACGTGTAGTGTTTCACTTCTCACTCATTCTACGGGCAGACAAACAATGAGAAATCAATTCCATCCCGACAAACCCCTTGGAAGTCCAAAATGATCTAAGGTCAGGCAATCTGTTGGATACAACACAAATATTATGTGTGATGCCACAAATCCTTTAATAGAGAATGGCATGGCATGGGTTTCTTCATTCTACATACATGCACAAAGCATCCAATAAGACACAACCAACACCAATCAATCTTTGACAAGAGCCTGAAAAACTCATCATGCAAAAAAAGAAAGAAGAAACACGGTTGTTCTTACCAATAAATCAGAGATTCCAAGGCTTCGTGCTGTATCAATGTATAGATGCCTTCCTAGTATATTGACTTGAACTTTCGTATATAAGCTAAGCATTGTTGTAGCCCATACTGACAATGTCATCCTTGTAAAACCTATAAAAAAAAGCACAGATGTTTATTTTTAAGCAGTTTATTATCGCATCCAGGTGAATTAACACCACAAAGTTATAGGTATAACAATCGCGGAATCCAAGACCAGATTCATACTTAGAATTTTGAGTCTACTCCATAAATCTAGTTTCTCTGATTGCGTTAAGCTGTTTGGCTGACCCTTTCCTTGTATTAGCCTTTCAAGAAGATGAGAAAGATCCAACTCTTCAGTGATCCGAAAATTTAAGTCGTGCATAGCATGAGGCAATGTTACATCAGAGATCCTCTGAATATTCTCAAAGTGAGCTTGCATCCTATCATTGTCAATAAAACAATAAAAGGCACGCCATCAGCATTTCTTTTCTCTAGCCAGGGGTAGAAATTGATGATCACAAAAAAAACATATATAATTTATCTAATCTACGCAAAAAGGCATGAAACACAGAAGGTAGATATTTCACTCAACTGAGCCTTCATAAGCTCCTCAGTTTCCCTCTGAGCTGCGACTTCTCTTTCAAGTTCCTGAACCCCATGCCTGTGAGCACCATAGAGTTTATACAAAAGGTACCCACTTCCCAAAACTCCAACAGTGTAGAAAACCTTCCTCCTATGCCGTCTCCAAAAATCCCTGAGTCACAATAATCAAAATATTTAACAGACAAACCCCCAGAATAATGCAGAAACATGCATAGAGGACAATCACGGAGATGCAGCCAATTAAAGACACCCTCACCATTTTGATCACAATCCAATAACAACAACAATACATACAAAAAAAATCACCCCATGTTTACAATTTCAGTCTCAGAAATCAAATTGGGGTCAAACATTAAAAGAGGAGCTAGAAAAAGAATGTCACACTGAGAGCAAAGTTTTGCGAAAGGGAACTACAGAGACGGACCCAGATAAGGGATTGCATCAAAGTTGGAGACTTACCTCACAGAAAGCATTCTGAAGATACAGGGTAGACCGATATTCTACGGTCAGTCTCAAAACCCACGTTAACAACGAAGCATGAGAATACAACACAGAGAGACCAAGAAAATATAAGAAGAAAAAATGCAAAGAAAGCAAGTAGGTGGTGCTGTGGCACAAATAGTGAGACAAAAAAGGGCTAAAAACTGAAAAGGAGTGTCTTTGAGGAGGATTGTAGCCTTGGGTAGCTAGCTCAACCTCGAACACTCAGAAATGAATTTGGGGAATGGGGGTGTAGGTTTCCCCCATTTGTTGCTGGAAACAATCAAAACCAAAACAATATTATTAATAACATTGATAAATATAAAGAAAAAAGATAAATTTTCAACAACCACCACATTGTTTTTTTATAAATATATTAATGTAAAAATGGTATCCTAATTGATTTTATAAATTACTTATAAAATATATTTTGTAAGAATACATTGATTTAATTTATATATATACACACTAGAGAGAGAAAATTTATGATTAGGTTTTTGTAACTGGATTTATAATTTTTAGAAAATTAGAAGAGTTTAAAGGATTTCATGTATTTAAAAAAAATCATATATATTTTTACATTTTTGTAAAACCTTTTTAGAATAAAATGTTTATATATGTGAAAGTATGTGAATCAATGCTTAAACAAACATTTAACGTTAAATTATTATATTATTATTAAAATAATAAATAATTTTGAAAAGAAATGTGCATAAGAAAGATAGTTTGGAATAAGTTCACTGTCTTCATATGAAACAAAAGTATAGATTAATAAAAACAATAACAAATATAGTTATTTGGTTTTTGTGAAGTGGTGATTTTGATCGTGTAAAAGTTGAAGAATAATTGATTATGTGAAAATGAAAACCCAAAGCATTTTTCATAACCGATTCCATAAAAGGAGAATTGATTATGTAAAAATGGAAACCGATTTCTTCTTTATGCAAATCGATTCTAAGCCTTTTCAAATATCTAAAACTATTTTGATGCACCAAGTAACGAGTGTCATACCACAGTTACTTTATAATAAATTCAGTATAGTTGTCAAGAAACATCATAAAAACAATGAAAAAACAAGGTGATGGTAACTCATAGACTCATAATTATTATTATAATTATTTTATGAATAATAATAATAATCAATTATATTTTTGATTTTTTTAATAATAATTTTTTATTTTTATTTTAACATACTTTTAATATTTATATTTAAATATATATTACATTTATTTTTTAAAAAAATAAGATAGTAATGATTTAATTTTATTTATTAAAATATTTTTGTAATCTATCGTATCCAATGTATCATACATAATATTTTACAAATTTTTATCTCAAACTTATTCCAATCATCCTATTTTTTCTAATCCAAACAACTTTACATCAATTTCATTTTCCTTAAAAATTCACTATCTCAAACACATTCATATCTAATTATACCACTCATAGTATATTTTAAAAAATATATACAACCTTTATGACTTAATTAGTTTCTAAATGACAAAAAAATATATTTATAATATAATTGATTATAATCTATTCTATTTATAAGCATTTTATTATTATTTAACTTTATGAAATCCATTATTGTTGTTTTAATAATTATATTATTAATACCTGTTTATATGAGTTTTTACATTGTAATAAAATAAATATTTAAAATAATAAATAAAATAAAACTCTAATGTGAATTAATAAACGTATTATTTTATACAGATAAATCGTTTTAAAACGCTAAAATAATAAGTAAAATTAAATAATTTAATTTATATTCAGATATATGTTTTATTTTTCCAAATTTTATTCTGGTTTACTCTATTTAAATAACTTAAGTTTTTACTTTATGTCAACCAGAAAAATTATAATTTACTGTGAAGTATCCGCTGTTACTTTACAATAATAAAAAAATATAATTATTATTAAAATAAAAATGCTAAATTAATAAAAAAATATATAATTGTCCTTCAAATCTCTTTCTTTTCACCTCTCAATCCTCTAAACTCNCATTTGAGTATATCCTCCAAAGAAGTGAGGTTTTAAATGGGGAAAATTAATTGACTCTGCTCTCTGATCTATCAACACTTTCAACACAAAAACTCACACTACAAATATTGATTCCCTGTAATAATGTACACAATAAGATTCTTTTGACAGATTTCGCAACTATTAAAATCTTTGGTATCATAAATTGGCTTTATCCAGAGCAAACCAAGACAAATAGTGATGTACACTGGTACCATCAAAGTCTAGAGATTGAAACTCATACAAAGCAGTTACTCATAAAAGGCAACAAGAAAATAGCCTCAACTTTAAACCGCAATGTTCATGCAGGTGACTGCCAAACCGAAATTTGAAAGAGGAATGTGATAAGACCAACTTACGATGATAAGCATATCCTCTTCAGTCTTGAATTTTAGAAGCCTTCTAAAGCAAGAAATTTGAAATCCAACAAATATTTTTCCACATTTACTTATCTTCCAAATCTAACTCGATCAGTCAAGGAGGGGTTATCTTCCAAACACGGATAAAAGCATCCTCACCTGAGCTAACCAAACTATATTCGTCAGTGAATGTTAACCCATAAACCCCACCTAAATGAGCACCCTTTATGGTAATTCTACTAGATGCAGGCTGATCAATTTCATATATGATGACACACATGTCAAGCGACCCTGTGGCAATCCTACGGCTATCAGGTGACCATGCAAGACAATTTATCCTAGCAGTATGATACAACATGTTCTTAAGCTTCACCTGAAATGAAAACATGTGTTGAAACAGTTAAAAAGTAATGACACGAAAAAATTATTTCTTACACATCCAAAAGGAAAGTATGCACATTAGAGAGAAAGCATCAAAAGTAATACTTTGGCTATCAAAGTTGCACTTACCTCATGGGAGGCACGGTCCCACACTATAGCTTCTCGATTGACATCCCCTGATGCAAACATTGAAACGTCTGGAGAATAACGTATGACACTAATAGCACCCCTATGTTTCTCAAGGACAGCCTCTTCTACAAGAGTATCACCAGAAATAGAATATATGTGTAATTTACCATCCTGTCCACCGATGATGGCTTCACTTCCATCAGGTGAGACAGCAGATGCAGTCACAACAAACCCCATATTAATGGTTGACACAATTTTTGTACCACGCAGCATGACAACTCCAGAATCAATTGAAACTAGAGCAAGTTCAGGTGAAAGAAGTGCAACACTCAAGTCCTTTGGTTGACTTCCTATATCAATGGCCTCGGCATCTCCACACTGATCCCCATGTAAAGAAACTCGCCTTATCTGGTTGTCAAAAGAGAAAGAAAGAGGGGCAATCAGAGCAAGAAACCCTCACTTCTACATAATATTCATATATTGCAGATGCCTTGAAATTTCTACCCCCAAAAAGGCTAATTTGTCACATCTTAGCATGAAAGTACTATGAATGAAGAACTATGTCACAATTGCAGCAGGGATTTCTAACAACACTAAAGCAGGCATGAAGATATCATGTAAAGCATAAACCACGATTTCTTAAATCACTTTGCAGGAACAATTTACAGCACAAAAAATAATAGCCAGAAAGAAAAATTCATCGTTCCAGGTAATACCAAGACAGATACAATAAGATTACAAGAACATTAATTGAAAAACTATATCACCTCTCACTTGGTAAAGCAATTGTTAATGTTACCATTTACCGAGTCCAATAGACAACATTGGGGAAAAAATGGTCCTTGCATCATCGGTGGATCATAAGAAACAAATACATTGGATAGAAAAAATGAAGTCACAACAGCCTTCAATTTAAGACCAGAGTACCAAACTGATGAAGTAGCTGGGCCAACAATCTTACAAAGGAACTCAAGCAGAGCAGCCTAAGGCTCCTCACAGAAAGCTATTCTCCAGAAGTAACGTGATTATCCAAGCAAGCCTCTCCCACCGTTGTCTTCCTCCCTATATTTTTGGCTACTTCGCCCCAACCAATTTGCCAAGTCAGAGAGTGTAACCGATTCTCCTCTCTATTACCAATTATTGCCTTGTGGGATAAACTTCCCAAATCAAGAAGGTTCTTCATACTTGGCACCAAATTCTTTGATTGTTCGAAGTGGTATTCCAACTATTTTCTGATCTAGCCCCATATCCTATCAGAAACTTCACTACCAATATGGATAATGCCATATGAATAATTTATTTCAACCCATAAAAAATATATTATTTAAATGCAAATGAAAAGCATCACTGATTCTGTCACCAATGGAGGAGATGGAAATTGAGAAAACTGTAGCATAATTATTATCATTATCATATTAACAAATAATATAAGCAAAACATTCACCTTATTATCAAATCCAGAAGTAACAATCTCTTCTTCTACGGCAACTAAGCATTTGATTTGAGAACCTTCCTTCCTTTGTACTTTTCCACTATATCCAATCCCTTGAATCCACCTAACTATTAAGCCATCATAACTGCTAGACAAGAGCACTTTAGGGTTACTTCTAAGAATAGATAAGGAGGAAACATTTTTCATATGTCCAGAAAATGCTGTCGGGGCTTTATCGAGATCGCTTGCTAAAAATATAGATATTATCCCACCCAGAGAAACAGTGACAAGATAATCATTCAACCATAGGCACCCCACTAGCATATCTTCAACTCCACCAGTGCCAGGACAAGTCAAAGTTTTCTTCACCTTTCCGTTATTGTCTTCTGATATGTCCCATACTTTTGCAGACTTGTCAGCAGACACAGTCAACACCTATAGACAGCATTACAACTGTAGATCAGATTGTTATTACTCAAAAATGTTATACACACATAGCAAAGTTTGAAGTTTTGCATTGAGTTAATTTCATAAAGAAAAGAAAGCGATCAACCGTTATGTATTTGGGAGAGGTGAAAAGGAGATATCATATCAACGGGGAAATTGGGGTCAGTATGATGGATACCCCTTAGTTAGAAAAAGAGCAGTTTATTTGATTTATTGGTTAAAGAAACAAGCTTTGCGGCCTATAAAAAACAGGGGAGGTTAAGAGAAAGTTATCTTTTTATCTGAGAGAGAATTGGAAGGTGCTGCAGCCTTTTATCTTTGGAATTGATGTTTACCCTATTTCTACTCAATAAGACACCAAGTTTTATCCAAGTACATCAGGGTGTAAGTATATTGCCATACATACTCAGAGGTTAACTTACCTGTTTTCCATCAGGACTCCAGCTAACAGCATAAATACTTCCAGTATGCCCACCTTCAGAAGACAACTCACCGATCTTCTCAGCACTTTTTCCATCGAATATGAAACCACTTTTGTCAGAACTTACGGTAATAAATTTACTGCCATCTGGAGAATATCTTACACAATTAACAAAATTTGAATGATCCCTGTACATAACCAAATTATCCCAATATCAGTTCCAAAGAGAAGAACAAACCAGAACAGACGCACGACAAATCTTACAAAAGAAAATCCTCAGAGAAACTGAGGTCCAAATGATCATACATTTACAAATAATAGCAATATGCAACAGTTTCGATTCCATATGAAAACCCTTTAAAAGTAGCAGCGTTCATCCCAAACGTGTTCATCTTTTTCAAAAGAAGGACTAGAGCACAGAAGCTACTTTCAGAGAAACACTATTCTCAGCTGTATCAAAAGATCATATTCTTTTTCCGCCTCATACACATATGCACAGTGTAAGTGATGCCTAAAATACCATTTTGTAAAGTTTATTTTCTCATAGTAATACACAACACATACCTGTGAGATAGCTTAAATCTAAAGGGAGGTCCCTCATAAAAGTTAACCAGAAAATCCTCTCCACAGGTAACAACACGAAATGGTCTCGTGGGTTTATATGCACAACTCAAAACCCGGCGCGAGTGACCGTCAAATTCTCCAACATTAGTCCCCGAATCCCACCTTCATCGCACAGTAAACAACATTATCAACAAAAGAGATCTTAAAGTCAAACGAAGTCAAACATAATAGATCACACACACAGAGAAAAGCTTCGAGAAGGTTCTAGAAGTTTCTCAGGAGAACTAACATGAAAGCGCGGACGAAGGACTTCCCTTTGCCTTCGCCGCAGGCAACGATTCGGAGGCCGTCGGGGGACCACTGAAGGTCGTCGATGCGCCCGGAGAGGACTCTGAACTCCTTCTTCAAAACGAAGTCGTTTCGCGTGCCCCAGATCCTGACGGTACCGGAGGCGTCGGCGGAGGCGACCCACTCGCCGTTGGGGGAGAAACGCGCGACGGTGGCCGGGTAGGCATGTTCCCCGTAGACAGAGACGTTAAGGGGATTCTCGAGGCTCACGATGACCACCGATCTGGCGTTGGTGTAGACGATGGAGTTGGACTTGGCGTCGCCCGAGATCAGAATCCCGCGGCCGCGCTCCGTCGTGGGCATGCACGCGTACGTCTCCTTCAGCTCGTGGCTCATCTTCACTTCTCAAAGAGATTACTTTGTGGTTTCAGTCACAGTGAAAAGCAGAGCACGATGTCGCAACCGACCAAGCTCTGTTTCAACCACACCGCTGAGACATGCCACCATGTTCCCACTCATCTTTTAAACATCTTATGTCAGTAATTATACCAATTAAATAAATATTATTTATTCATCAATCCAAATTTAAGATCTTAAAACGTAGTGTTTTATATTTTAATTTATTATTTCTTCAACATAATTTGGTGCTTAATCATGATTTACTGTAAAGCAAATAAACTATATTTTTTCAATTACTATCTTGTAAATCTAGCTCTCAAATGGATATATAACAGGAACATTAACTTGCATCTTTTAAAAAATTTGTGTTAACCAGAATTTGTTACTATTTTTTCACTTATTAGTCAATGTAAATTGTTTTCTTAAATCTAATGGGTATAAGAAGACTTTATTATTGTTTTATTATAATTAAAAAATATTATTCATTTTATATTATTTTATGAAACATATATATACATATTTTCAGATGACTTTAAAATAATGAAAGTTATTTATCATTTAAATTAATTTTGTGTAAGAAACTTCTACTTTAATATTCAGCAATTGTTTGTATAAATACATTACAATTAAAAGTAATAACACAAAGGGTTAATATCTTTTAAGAAAGTAAATTATAATGTCCAAATTATCAGAAAAGTGCATTATAATTTTGAAAACTACATTGTTATTTTTAAAAAAAAAACATGTTTAAGTCATCGAAAATTTTATTTTATCATAATAAAATTGATTTTTTTTTCTTTTCTAATATCTATGCATAAATTGATTAATAATTTCAACGATCCAATTGCATTTTTACACAATTAATTTATATTAGGTTAAATATGTTGTTAGTTTCTAAACTATTAAGCAAATTTGTTTTTAGTTCATTTTTCAAATTAAGCTATATTTTGGTCCTTTCACTTTAAGGAAACCATAATTTTTCATCTTCTAAAATCAACGGCGTTAAAAATCAGCTGAGGTGGCTAACGGTGATATGCCACGTCATTTTTTTTCTTCTGACACTCAATAAATTTTTCCCAGCTTTCCTCCCTTCGTATCGTCTCCTTCCTTGCATCTTCTCCACGTTCTTCTCTTATGTGTTTTCTTCCAAACTTCCCTGTGGTCCGTTGCTTGATCTTTGATGTCGTCAGCTGCGGCGACACCTCCCGCTACCGCTATCGCCAGCGTGGCGGCGGCGAAGAAAACGTTGGTGACTTTAGCTTGGTGGCTAGCCATGCAGAGAAGGAGGAGAGGTCAAAGAAGAGGTTGGAGAAGCTGTCGAATCTGCTGAACGCGGTGGAGACGAAAACGGATGCGGAGGCGGAGAGGAAAGAGGAGGCATTGGCGGAGCTAAAGCGAGTGGTGAAGGAGTTGCATGAAGAAGACCTCTCGATGCGGAGAATCGCGACGGAGAGAGTGAGGCGTTGGCAAAGGAAGATGCCGAAGCGAGAGCGAATCTCGCAATGCTCGGAGTAATTCCTCCTCTCGTCGAAATGCTCGATTCGGAAGACGCTCATTCACAAATCGCTTCGCTCTATGCTTTGCTCAATCTCGGAATCGGTAACAATGCGTGCGTAATTTGCATTTTCATTCAAAATCCACCGTGGTGTTTACCCAAATATTTCATATATCTGAAATTTAATGTTAACTTAATTATTTCATAAACAAAGCGACTGTAGTGAAAATCGGCACTGTACACACAGATGCTAAAACTAATTGAATCAAGTGATTCAAATTCGTCGGTGGCCGAAGCGATTGTTGCGAATTTCCTTGGATTGAGTGATTTGGATTCAAATAAACCCATAGTTGGTTCCTCCGGTGCAATACCATTCCTGGTTAGCACCCTAAAAAATTTAGAGGCTAGTAAAACTGTATCACAATCCCAATAGCAAGAAGCAAGATGCTCTACGCGCACAATCTTTCACTATGATTGTACAACNTTCTTCATACTTGGCACCAAATTCTTTGATTGTTCGAAGTGGTATTCCAACTATTTTCTGATCTAGCCCCATATCCTATCAGAAACTTCACTACCAATATGGATAATGCCATATGAATAATTTATTTCAACCCATAAAAAATATATTATTTAAATGCAAATGAAAAGCATCACTGATTCTGTCACCAATGGAGGAGATGGAAATTGAGAAAACTGTAGCATAATTATTATCATTATCATATTAACAAATAATATAAGCAAAACATTCACCTTATTATCAAATCCAGAAGTAACAATCTCTTCTTCTACGGCAACTAAGCATTTGATTTGAGAACCTTCCTTCCTTTGTACTTTTCCACTATATCCAATCCCTTGAATCCACCTAACTATTAAGCCATCATAACTGCTAGACAAGAGCACTTTAGGGTTACTTCTAAGAATAGATAAGGAGGAAACATTTTTCATATGTCCAGAAAATGCTGTCGGGGCTTTATCGAGATCGCTTGCTAAAAATATAGATATTATCCCACCCAGAGAAACAGTGACAAGATAATCATTCAACCATAGGCACCCCACTAGCATATCTTCAACTCCACCAGTGCCAGGACAAGTCAAAGTTTTCTTCACCTTTCCGTTATTGTCTTCTGATATGTCCCATACTTTTGCAGACTTGTCAGCAGACACAGTCAACACCTATAGACAGCATTACAACTGTAGATCAGATTGTTATTACTCAAAAATGTTATACACACATAGCAAAGTTTGAAGTTTTGCATTGAGTTAATTTCATAAAGAAAAGAAAGCGATCAACCGTTATGTATTTGGGAGAGGTGAAAAGGAGATATCATATCAACGGGGAAATTGGGGTCAGTATGATGGATACCCCTTAGTTAGAAAAAGAGCAGTTTATTTGATTTATTGGTTAATGAAACAAGCTTTGCTGCCTATAAAAAACAGGGGAGGTTAAGAGAAAGTTATCTTTTTATCTGAGAGATAATTGGAAGGTGCTGCAGCCTTTTATCTTTGGAATTGATGTTTACCCTATTTCTACTCAATAAGACACCAAGTTTTATCCAAGTACATCAGGGTGTAAGTATATTGCCATACATACTCAGAGGTTAACTTACCTGTTTTCCATCAGGACTCCAGCTAACAGCATAAATACTTCCAGTATGCCCACCTTCAGAAGACAACTCACCGATCTTCTCAGCACTTTTTCCATCGAATATGAAACCACTTTTGTCAGAACTTACGGTAATAAATTTACTGCCATCTGGAGAATATCTTACACAATTAACAAAATTTGAATGATCCCTGTACATAACCAAATTATCCCAATATCAGTTCCAAAGAGAAGAACAAACCAGAACAGACGCACGACAAATCTTACAAAAGAAAATCCTCAGAGAAACTGAGGTCCAAATGATCATACATTTACAAATAATAGCAATATGCAACAGTTTCGATTCCATATGAAAACCCTTTAAAAGTAGCAGCGTTCATCCCAAACGTGTTCATCTTTTTCAAAAGAAGGACTAGAGCACAGAAGCTACTTTCAGAGAAACACTATTCTCAGCTGTATCAAAAGATCATATTCTTTTTCCGCCTCATACACATATGCACAGTGTAAGTGATGCCTAAAATACCATTTTGTAAAGTTTATTTTCTCATAGTAATACACAACACATACCTGTGAGATAGCTTAAATCTAAAGGGAGGTCCCTCATAAAAGTTAACCAGAAAATCCTCTCCACAGGTAACAACACGAAATGGTCTCGTGGGTTTATATGCACAACTCAAAACCCGGCGCGAGTGACCGTCAAATTCTCCAACATTAGTCCCTGAATCCCACCTTCATCGCACAGTAAACAACATTATCAACAAAAGAGATCTTAAAGTCAAACGAAGTCAAACATAATAGATCACACACACAGAGAAAAGCTTCGAGAAGGTTCTAGAAGTTTCTCAGGAGAACTAACATGAAAGCGCGGACGAAGGACTTCCCTTTGCCTTCGCCGCAGGCAACGATTCGGAGGCCGTCGGGGGACCACTGAAGGTCGTCGATGCGCCCGGAGAGGACTCTGAACTCCTTCTTCAAAACGAAGTCGTTTCGCGTGCCCCAGATCCTGACGGTACCGGAGGCGTCGGCGGAGGCGACCCACTCGCCGTTGGGGGAGAAACGCGCGACGGTGGCCGGGTAGGCATGTTCCNTGTCAGAACTTACGGTAATAAATTTACTGCCATCTGGAGAATATCTTACACAATTAACAAAATTTGAATGATCCCTGTACATAACCAAATTATCCCAATATCAGTTCCAAAGAGAAGAACAAACCAGAACAGACGCACGACAAATCTTACAAAAGAAAATCCTCAGAGAAACTGAGGTCCAAATGATCATACATTTACAAATAATAGCAATATGCAACAGTTTCGATTCCATATGAAAACCCTTTAAAAGTAGCAGCGTTCATCCCAAACGTGTTCATCTTTTTCAAAAGAAGGACTAGAGCACAGAAGCTACTTTCAGAGAAACACTATTCTCAGCTGTATCAAAAGATCATATTCTTTTTCCGCCTCATACACATATGCACAGTGTAAGTGATGCCTAAAATACCATTTTGTAAAGTTTATTTTCTCATAGTAATACACAACACATACCTGTGAGATAGCTTAAATCTAAAGGGAGGTCCCTCATAAAAGTTAACCAGAAAATCCTCTCCACAGGTAACAACACGAAATGGTCTCGTGGGTTTATATGCACAACTCAAAACCCGGCGCGAGTGACCGTCAAATTCTCCAACATTAGTCCCTGAATCCCACCTTCATCGCACAGTAAACAACATTATCAACAAAAGAGATCTTAAAGTCAAACGAAGTCAAACATAATAGATCACACACACAGAGAAAAGCTTCGAGAAGGTTCTAGAAGTTTCTCAGGAGAACTAACATGAAAGCGCGGACGAAGGACTTCCCTTTGCCTTCGCCGCAGGCAACGATTCGGAGGCCGTCGGGGGACCACTGAAGGTCGTCGATGCGCCCGGAGAGGACTCTGAACTCCTTCTTCAAAACGAAGTCGTTTCGCGTGCCCCAGATCCTGACGGTACCGGAGGCGTCGGCGGAGGCGACCCACTCGCCGTTGGGGGAGAAACGCGCGACGGTGGCCGGGTAGGCATGTTCCCCGTAGACAGAGACGTTAAGGGGATTCTCGAGGCTCACGATGACCACCGATCTGGCGTTGGTGTAGACGATGGAGTTGGACTTGGCGTCGCCCGAGATCAGAATCCCGCGGCCGCGCTCCGTCGTGGGCATGCACGCGTACGTCTCCTTCAGCTCGTGGCTCATCTTCACTTCTCAAAGAGATTACTTTGTGGTTTCAGTCACAGTGAAAAGCAGAGCACGATGTCGCAACCGACCAAGCTCTGTTTCAACCACACCGCTGAGACATGCCACCATGTTCCCACTCATCTTTTAAACATCTTATGTCAGTAATTATACCAATTAAATAAATATTATTTATTCATCAATCCAAATTTAAGATCTTAAAACGTAGTGTTTTATATTTTAATTTATTATTTCTTCAACATAATTTGGTGCTTAATCATGATTTACTGTAAAGCAAATAAACTATATTTTTTCAATTACTATCTTGTAAATCTAGCTCTCAAATGGATATATAACAGGAACATTAATTTGCATCTTTTAAAAAATTTGTGTTAACCAGAATTTGTTACTATTTTTTCACTTATTAGTCAATGTAAATTGTTTTCTTAAATCTAATGGGTATAAGAAGACTTTATTATTGTTTTATTATAATTAAAAAATATTATTCATTTTATATTATTTTATGAAACATATATATACATATTTTCAGATGACTTTAAAATAATGAAAGTTATTTATCATTTAAATTAATTTTGTGTAAGAAACTTCTACTTTAATATTCAGCAATTGTTTGTATAAATACATTACAATTAAAAGTAATAACACAAAGGGTTAATATCTTTTAAGAAAGTAAATTATAATGTCCAAATTATCAGAAAAGTGCATTATAATTTTGAAAACTACATTGTTATTTTTAAAAAAAAAACATGTTTAAGTCATCGAAAATTTTATTTTATCATAATAAAATTGATTTTTTTTTCTTTTCTAATATCTATGCATAAATTGATTAATAATTTCAACGATCCAATTGCATTTTTACACAATTAATTTATATTAGGTTAAATATGTTGTTAGTTTCTAAACTATTAAGCAAATTTGTTTTTAGTTCATTTTTCAAATTAAGCTATATTTTGGTCCTTTCACTTTAAGGAAACCATAATTTTTCATCTTCTAAAATCAACGGCGTTAAAAATCAGCTGAGGTGGCTAACGGTGATATGCCACGTCATTTTTTTTCTTCTGACACTCAATAAATTTTTCCCAGCTTTCCTCCCTTCGTATCGTCTCCTTCCTTGCATCTTCTCCACGTTCTTCTCTTATGTGTTTTCTTCCAAACTTCCGTGTGGTCCGCTGCTTGATCTTTGATGTCGTCAGCTGCGGCGACACCTCCCGCTACCGCTATCGCCAGCGTGGCGGCGGCGAAGAAAACGTTGGTGACTTTAGCTTGGTGGCTAGCCATGCAGAGAAGGAGGAGAGGTCAAAGAAGAGGTTGGAGAAGCTGTCGAATCTGCTGAACGCGGTGGAGACGAAAACGGATGCGGAGGCGGAGAGGAAAGAGGAGGCATTGGCGGAGCTAAAGCGAGTGGTGAAGGAGTTGCATGAAGAAGACCTCTCGATGCGGAGAATCGCGACGGAGAGAGTGAGGCGTTGGCAAAGGAAGATGCCGAAGCGAGAGCGAATCTCGCAATGCTCGGAGTAATTCCTCCTCTCGTCGAAATGCTCGATTCGGAAGACGCTCATTCACAAATCGCTTCGCTCTATGCTTTGCTCAATCTCGGAATCGGTAACAATGCGTGCGTAATTTGCATTTTCATTCAAAATCCACCGTGGTGTTTACCCAAATATTTCATATATCTGAAATTTAATGTTAACTTAATTATTTCATAAACAAAGCGACTGTAGTGAAAATCGGCACTGTACACACAGATGCTAAAACTAATTGAATCAAGTGATTCAAATTCGTCGGTGGCCGAAGCGATTGTTGCGAATTTCCTTGGATTGAGTGATTTGGATTCAAATAAACCCATAGTTGGTTCCTCCGGTGCAATACCATTCCTGGTTAGCACCCTAAAAAATTTAGAGGCTAGTAAAACTGTATCACAATCCCAATAGCAAGAAGCAAGATGCTCTACGCGCACAATCTTTCACTATGATTGTACAACCTTTCGGTTATTCTGGAGACTGGTTTGATTTGGTTTTTAGTTAGCTCGGAAGAGAGCCTCCAGAATATTTGAGTGTTTGAGGGTGGAGAAGGGGAAACCTTGGTTGATCTCATCAACAACTCTAAATGGGCAGGGGGCTGAGTTTCATGGTGGCGGAGATGAAGGACTTCAAGATCCGACTCCAGGGGACGACCATGGGAAGGAAGGGACGACTCGCGATCACGGCGGTGGCGTCGAAGGTAGCGTCAGAGGTGGCGTCGGAGGTAGCGTCGGAGGTAGCGTCAGAGGTAGCTTCGAAAGTGGTTGTGGTATAGTCAAAGGGAGAGGAAGGGAGAGGAGATGAGAAAGATTGACTAATGTAAAAAAAAAATGACGTGTCACACCACCGTTGCTCACCTCAGCTGATTTTTAATACAAGACGAAAAATTATGGTTTCCTTAAGAAGAATGACCAAAATGTAGCTTAGTTTGAAAGAGAAACTAAAAACAAATTCGCTTAATATTTTAAGGACTAAAAACATAAGTATTTATATATATACACACAAATATGTATACATTTGTATTATTAAAAAATAATTTAATTATGGATAAAATTTGTGGATAATATCAAAATTTATTGATAAAATTAAAATTATTAATTATTTATTGACTATAAAAGATTTGTCAATAAATTTTATTAACAAATAATTTTTTTTATTAATTATTAACTAAAATTTTCATTAATAAATATCAATGGCTAATGTTCATTAATATTTATTTGTCAGTAATTATATTATAGAATTTTTTTTGTTAGTAAAATTTATGAATAAACCTTTACACACGTTTTTCCCTTTTTTTTTACTACTATTGCTGTTACCATCAATATTACTGTCTTTGTTGATTTTTTTCCATCTTTCTATACCTTTATCTTATTCTTATCCACCTTCATTTTATTTATAACAAATATTTTATTAAATTTGATGAAAATTTATCAATAAATTTTCAGAAAAATACAATACTATAAATTTATCAATAAATTAAAAAAGATATTATTGACGAATTTTACAATAACATCTTCAAAAAGTCTTAAGCGAAAACTACTCTCATTTTATTAACAAAAATATTTATTAATAATAAAAATTCTAACAAATTTGTCAGACAAATTTTATTAACAAACATATCACCAACAAATATTTTTGTGGATAAATAAAATTCTAATAATTCATCTATAAAAGTGATTAACAAATTTTTTTTATCAATAATTAATTAATATTTTTCTCTTGATAAATTCTGTTAATAAGTTTTTATTTTACTATAGTAAATTTGTTTTGTCAATAAAACTTTAGTGATTATATCACAATTTCTTGTATACTTGTAAATATATTTCCTAAAAGCTATTTTGGAAAACAAATGGTTAGATAAGTTAAAATGAAATAACACACGTGAATACCAAATCATTTAAATATAATAACAATAAGAAATTAAGCATCAAATCAGGACACAA